AGCATATTACCCCATGTTAACCCCGTGACCACTCTTGTAAAAAATAATAACTAGGCAATTAAAAAAAAAAAATTGGGATAATTTTATTTTATTTTTTTCACGCATTAGTCTGTTCAAAAAGACAGATCTGATGCACTGAGAACAAACTGGAAATTACACAAGACTGTGGCAATGCAGAAAAAATATTGGTGGCAAATATCGGCTAAATTTTAAATATCAGACCGAAACAATATCTAGAGAAATCCTCAGATGTCACCAAAAACTGCTATATCATCCCAGAACTACTAGTATAATGTTGTAATTTTTATCAAAAAAGCACAACTGAAGACACTCCAATCACTATATGAGCTGAATAAAAATAAGTGATGAGATAAATTACTTGCTATTAGTTTAAAGAAAATCTCTGTAAAATAGCATTCTTTAGGGCTATACACAGAACAGGAAAAATCAATGTAGGACTGCTCATGTGAGGCTATTGACAGAGCAGTGTCGTAGTGGGACCCATGAGAACCAGTGAGCGTGAAAGTCATGCAGCTCCCACCAAGCTGCAACAAAGGGCAACACCAGTGCCCAAAATAGCTCCAAGACTTCCTGTATTCACACATCCACAACCTATGTAACACATCCCCCATAAGCACTCTGGATAATTATCATTTGTATCCCCCATTCTTCTGATAAATTAACATGTAAGTGTGGGATTCAAGTATGGGCTATTTTAAGACAATCTAATTTTGTTCCATAGAAATTTGACATCAATTAGCCAAAGAATACATGTGATTTTGCCAGTACACTCCCAAAAGAAAATAAATGTGTGTTTAGTTGTCAGAAAAAGAACATCTGATATGAAAAACAAATACATTAAATCAACAGAATATCATCACTCCAAAAAGCAACAATATTTTGGTATTATTATATTATGATGCCCTAATAAAAGAATGTGGCATGGAAGTTCACCTAAAAGGAAGATATTATATTACTCTTAAGTCTTATTAACAGTGCGGTCACACTAGGGCTGGGTATCATTAGGAAGTTGCCGATACGATACATACCTCGATACATAGGCCATTTTTGATACAGTGCACTTTCGATTTGATATGATATATTTCAAATCCATTTGATAAAGTTCAATAAAAATAATGGTTAATCATGGCTGTGACACTAAAAGTCTTTGCTAAACCATTCTTGTGCAATGTTAATATGAAACACAAACATTTTACTCATCAAAACTAAATGTGTAAATATCTTAAATGTGTTGCATTAAGGAGTTTCTTTCCTTCAAACAAGCAACAAAACTGTAGCGCTGTAAGAAAATAATTTAACAAAATATACCAAAAAAATACTCTTGGCAATATATTGATACAAGAGCCCCCGATATCGATACCGTATCATCACATTAAACTATACGATACATCAATATTTCAATATTTTTGCATACCCCTAGGTCACACTGGCATAATCACCACATCAAAACTGATACAACACCTGGACTAAACCAGGGCAAAACCAGGAGCAGAACAAGACCAAACTGTCCTGACTGGTACACACAGTTTTCAGTGGTATTTAACTTTTCTTTCAGCTGAAAGATTGTGATAACTGGGAACAACACTACATTTGGGAGCACAGACCTTCTTCTGTGAGGGACACTTCTCCAGACAGTGGGTCAATGGAGAACATTTGTCTGTAGGGGATTCTGGGAGTCTGCTCCAGGAGGCTGAAGCGGAGCTCGGCATGGGGGGTGTTCCTGTCGTCACGATCCAGCGCCTCCACCTGCATGAAGGGGATCCCTGGGGCACAAGAAATATGGGCCAAAAAGTGCAGAGCTATATCTGATGTGTAACCGAGATGTGGCAAACAAACAGGACACATGATCATGCCAGTTGGCTTTTTATAGAACAGCAATATACATATATTTTTCACCAGAGCAGACTGACTGGATAAAGTGTCTAAGGTTAGGTCCAATAATTTATCAGCCAACACAGGAGAAAATCGTACCTGATTCATGAACGCTTTTCAATTTTGATTTCACAGTGAGGGGGAAAACTATTATATTACAAATCTTGCTTAACAAGTATAGTAGAAATAAAATATTTTAACCAACAATAATATACATCATATACAATATACATTTTGTTTAAGGCTCCTTCTACATGTAAGATGTTAGTTAATTAAATAGGTAATACACTACTTATACTACACTACAAATTCAAATGAAAACAATAAATAACAGAAGTGCTATGTCCCTGCACTATAGTTAGTACCTTTGAGAAGTCCGAGCTGCACGCTGCCTCTCATACTCTCCTGTATAAATGTGGGCACATTGTCATTCTTGTCAATGACGAACACCTCCACAGTGAAGCTCTGACGGTGCACTGAAGTTTTGAAGGACACCTATGTACAAGGAAAGCACACAGTATGTTAGCATCAATACAAAACTAAGTGAGTCTCATGAAGATGCAATGGATCATAAACCTTGAAAAATAATAGCCTCGCCACATAATTTACAATTTTTCAGCTGCTAAGAGTGTAGCATTACATTTTATAGTGGTCAGGTCAGACAAAATGACCAGTGATTGGAAAATCTGAAACAGAATTTGAGCAATGCAGGTGGTTGTACTCTCTGATCAATGTATTACATATACATTGTACATATATGCAGAATACATTTGTGGTAAAAACTTTTTCAGCAGTATTAATGATGATTAATGATGACATGCCTGTAAAGAGTATGACGGTTGTTTTTCTCTGTCCAGTGGTTTTATGGCGTATAGAAACTGTGAATCCACTCCAAATATCCCTTCATCATCTCCTGTCACCACCAGGTCACTGTGGTTTGCTGGAAGGCTGTGAAGCTGTTGATGAAAATGTGTTCAAATTTGTCATACACATTTGCAATTACAGGTTTGATAAGTTTAAGTTTGAAGAGCGCAAAGAGCTTAAATGTACTGTAATAACTTTTGACTAATTTGTTCTATCCACTTACAAATATATTCAATGAAACTGTCATAGCTCTCCACTCTGACCATTAGTGAGCTATTTGAAAGAGTGTGAATGACACAAAATTACTATCTTTAGCATAAGATCTGGTGATGTCACGGTCCAATTAAAGAGGGAGCTGTGTTAGTGCTGCTGGGTTCGTACAAAAACAGCCAGCCGTGTGCCCAAATGGACCAGAGCCAAAGGTTAGATGTGACGCCTGAAACATCTTTGTGCACATTTCAATTACAGTCGAGTGATGACGGCAATGCGCTGATGCATCTGCAACCTTGAAAGCATATACTGGGAAAAAAAGAGACTGATAGATACTGCATCTCTACCAAGGATAAGGTTTTTGTTGCTTTCAATAATACCAATGTCTGACTATGTGTTGGATGTGATAGCTTTATAAAAAGATTGCTTTTATGAAGCAAAACTAGAAAATTAAATTATAAAAAATAATTATTCTCTAATTCAGCTTTTCCCAAACTATTGACCTATTGAAGCGAGGATCACAAAAGGCACCTCTTATAATATTTTACACTACATATAAAATAAACTATAATTTCTCCCTAAATTTATATCATAAAACAATACATCCCTGTGGTCTTAATACTAATAGAATGACATTTAAACAAACATCTTATGCAAAGTTGATTTTTAAAAGTTTTAAATCAACTTAAAAATATTCTTTCTTTCTTTGGGGCCCCTCTGCAATGCTTAGAGGCCCCCCAGCGGTCCGTGGACCACACTTTAGGAACTACTGCTCTAATTATCATCAATATTATGTGTTAATGAATGTGCTCATATTATGGATGGAAGTGCTGCGTCTCTACTTGCAATCAATGTTCCTAACAAATAAATCAAGTTATTTTGATTTGGTTTGAAGAATTTAACTTAAAAAGTCATACCTTGGCTAAATACCATGGGAATATACCATCGTAGTTTTCAGGTACACCGATCTTTACACTGGCTGCAGAGCAAGATGCAAAAACAATGAATATAACCTGCACAAAAAATGAAGGAATTTTCTTAGTATTTTTTTTCACCTGTTATTTACGTTTTTTTATTTTTTATTTTGTAAATGTATAAATTGTCTCACTGTGAGAGCTGAAACAGGCATAGTCAGTTCTCTGTCTGGCATGTCTCTGCAAATACAAAAAAAGTGACATTTAAACTCTGTGACCACGGCCAAGCAATGCACTGTTTATCTTGTTACTTATTCAACTCTAGGAATCCATCATATTTACAAAAACAAAAACACTACTGGGACCCACTGGATTATCACCGAGTTCACACACACAATTGGTGACGAAATTATTTACATTTACATTAATCATATACAAAACGTCATATTCTTAAAATGTATTTATTTTGGATTGCCCCTTTAGATACACTGTCTTTTTTGAAGTGGATCCTTAGTTAAAATAATCGATTAAGATATAAATGTTCTCCAATAGCAGGAACAGTAACCAGTATAAAACGATCTTCAGGTAAAATAACACAAACAATGCAAATGATAGTATTCAACAATTTTTAAAACAATCCATTACCAATTTAGCTTCTTAAAACCAGCGCTGGATTTGTATAAAATAGAAATTACTTGAAAAAGTAAAAGTTTTGCTGTAAGGTAACTCCTTAGTGTCTTACCTCGAGTCTGTGCACTGTGCTTCTCCTGAGAGGTGTGAGTGGAGTTTAAATTGTGTGGAAAAACTGTGTTCTTGTACTCCTTTGACTGATTAATGGTTAACACTTGTGGATAAAGATGGCTAACTACCACATTTCCTTCGTTTAAAATCAGTGTGCAGTGCGGTTCAGTTTCAAGGATCTGACTAAATGAATATTCATGATGATGTTAACAACTAAACTTTGGTGTTGCATTGGGCTTCAGGCACTCAGTTTTACAAGTTGTAGCTTTAGAAGAAATGATCAAACATGGCTTTTATTTTTAAATTTTATTGAAAAACGTATTCAATGTAAACAAAGAAATTGCAAATCATGTCAAAGACACAACAAGACTAACATAACTTATTGCTTTACTTTACATTCACAACCTGAATTCGGTGGAAATGAAATAACATATAGCAGATTTGACGGGGCCTCAGAGATTGGGCAGAGGCACGACCTGCGCACCACGCTTCAAGTAAATCTGACTGAAAATGACCCTGGGATCCGTTTACGTGTCTTTAACAACAATGAGATGTATGTTCAGCAGACATAGCTTACAATATGTACAACAAGAACTATTAGAAAACCCACCCCTAGAGTATGTCAGTCTTTAAGATTCACTACTATCCATACATGATGACCATATAATGAAAGCAATGTCTTAAGGCAATCTGAACAGAATAAAACACATGATCGCCAAGCTTCATGCAGGTTACCACCACTTCATGATATGACTTATGAGTTACATCAGACACAATTGTTTTTTCAAGTCCACTTTTTGCTTCTTGGTGTCTAAAAATAAAAAATATATTTCTGTACAGCTCTAGTAGTCCTTAGGGTTAGTGTTAAAACACACACAGCATCTGGTCTTCAGAGGCCAAAGAGAAAATGTCCATCTTTTGTTGTGCTCCTCAGAGGACGGTCAGATCGTGGCAGGACTTGGACTTCTGCCTGAACGCCATCTTCTTGTTTTTGCGTGCGACCATTCGACCCAGGAAGCGCTTGGCTTTCTTGCTGATGCTCTCTCGACGCCTGCAGTTAGCCATGCGTCTTGCATTTTCCTCTTTGCTGTCTTTCCTCAAGCGGATCTGTCTGACAATGCCTTCAAATAAGGCCTGCACATTGTGGTGGAGAGATGCTGATGTCTCAATGAACTTGCAGTCGAATACTACTGCACAGGCACTACCCTCTGAAACAAACAAGAAAAAAATATTATAAAATTTGATCACACACAAAAGTAACCATAGCAGTTTTAGGCATTGCTTAGTGTAAATGTAAATATATACAGATAAATATGAACTTACCATCTACAGACACTTCCCTGGACCGCACCAGGTCACTCTTGTTGCCCACAAGGATTATGGGAATGTTCTCTGACTGCCTGGCTCTACGCAGCTGAATCCGCAGCTCTGAGGCCTTCTCGAAGCTCGCCTTGTCTGTGACTGAATACACAATAATGTAGGCATCTCCCATCTTCATGCACTGCTCCTTCATCCACTGACTGTTATCCTTCAAGAGGAGACAGACATGAAATTAGACACAAATATCACATTGTTCTAAAAAAAAAGAAGCATTCTGATGAATCAATGCAAATGGTCCACATGCATAAATAATAAAGGATGCTTACCTGTTCCCAAACATCATAGAGGAGAATGGATGCCTCCTCTTCATCCACGATAATAGATCTATCATAAGTGTTTCCTGTGGAAGAGACAGAAAATGTACGTTACTCAAAGTGGCAGTGCACAGTGTATAAAGCGGGCAATATATGTTGGCATGTATTTTGTTTAGATGTAGTATGACAAGCTTATATGTTGTCTTCTATGTAACGGTATCAGTTAACACAGCTTGATTATTAATTGTAATTTGTAATAAAATAAAATAAAATAAAATAAGGCGGCTTCAGTGTGTGCCCATGTTCATGTGATCTCTTCAGAAAAAGAGAAAAAGGCAAATTTGTCCTACACTCGATAAGGTTCTTGTGGAAGCTTGTTAAAAATAAAAATATTTCATGATAATTAACTTTAAAATCACATACAATCTTTCCCGAAAGTGGTCAATGTGTGCAAGTGGGCTGCTGAGGTCGGTGAGTCACTCTTTCAGCATCACTCATTTACCTGCTTCATCGCAGTCGTGACTTCCATCCTCAACTCCGCCGAACACGCGCGCCAGGCTGGACTTGCCAACACCGTGCTCCCCGAGGAGGACCACCTTGTACACCTGAGAGTCGGTCTCGCTTCCTGTGGAGATGACGGAGTCGGAGGAATCGGAGGCGCAGCTGCCTCTGTGCTGGTCGCTGGGGGAGTACGAGGTGCAGCGGAGCAGGTTTGACAGCTCGTCAGTCTGTCCAGTTTGAGGCATCGTGGCGCGCAGGTCTCTGTCGTCCACGGGCATGCTTCTCCTGTGAAGGTTGGGTAGATTCATAGGGAATGGCACACTTCCTCTCCTCTTGTCCATGTTCCTCAATTTGTCACCCTTGTTCAAAGTCATTGTGCTTTATTCCGAAGATCTATGAATAAATATGCCATGCGTCAATTGTGCGTAAAACTAAATTTGCCGTCAAGTAAAATGCCATAGGCCTAAAAGTAATAATAATTTATAGAAGTAATCAAGTCAAAGTAATCAAATGTTCTATAATGTCTTAACATTATAGAACATTTCTATAACATGGCATCACATTAATATTTTCTAACCAAAACGGTTCAATGCGTTACAAAAAGCTACTTACATGGTTCAGGCAAATAAATCCCACGCAGAATCAGATAGTCCTTGTATATCCTTGGTTTGGAAATGTGTCTGTGACAAGAGAGCGTTTTGCTTTGGTCTGTTGAGACTCGCCACTCGCAGAATTTATATCAGACCCAAGTGACGTAAGCAGGGATTCGCCCCAGAGTCACGTATCTGCTTATTATAGTAGTGCGTAATGGTAACATCATACAGCAGAGGGGGTATGACTGGAAGAGCTGAGGAATCTCCCTTCCGCAATGCCAAATGAAGCGAGCATCTGAGGGGGCGTCTGGAGACGATCAATTCAGTGGGAATGCCCACTTAAAGGGGCATCAGATTTTTGTTAAGATTACACTGTTAATTACAAATGTATGTAGAAATGCATATGGTAGGTGTATGCTTTTTAGTCAGATGAAGGAGAGCTTTATTGGTGATTTTGCAGAAGGTCAATTTTCAGTTTTAGATGTTACTACAGGCGTGCTGCTCAATGTATATTATTTTAATAAGAAACATAGGTCATAGACCCTCAGATGCATGAAACACGATGAACAGAAGATATTCTGAAGCACTCAGCATGCATAATACATACTGAGAGGATTATTGTCAGTCAATTCAACGCCCACCTTCAAGGCTGATTGACGGCATTTACTGGAGTTAGAAACAACATCTACATTTAAAATAATATTGCTACTTGAGCCTTTGGAAACTACACATGACAATGGTATATTTTAAAATCATATAAATAAACCTGCAAAATCAATAGGCCTAAAATGAATAAGAAATTGGTTTAGTCATCCACGTGCACATTTTTGTACATCATTTTGACTTACCTGTGTCCAGGTCCAGGAGGGTTCTGTGTGATGTGTTGATGCCATCTCGTGGTAAGACAAGTTCGCAATGCACTCAGTGCAACAATTGATTCAAAGTTAATAACTTAATTAGTTTACCTTAATTGGTTTAGCCACAGATAACGTGTCTGTGGACATTTATATTTTAAGTCTGTCTGTAGACAGACCCGTTATTTAGGAAATCCATGTGCAGACCATAGACCGTATGGAGCAGACCAGTGGTTGATAATGTAAGCCTAATCCTCGCGATCTGTGATACACTGCCGCCATCTGCCGGACGTCATCTACTATTCAATAAAATAAATTTTTCCAACAATTAATAAAAATCCAGGATAAAAATAGAATGATACAATATTTGTCCTCAGAAATATTGAGTTATTTGTTTTGTTTTGTTTATCTTGTCTTACGTCTTACCGCCTCTTACATAAAGCAATCAGAGCGCCTTACAGTTAATGCTCGAGAGATGCTTTTGTTTTGTTTTTCATCTTTAGCACAGAAAACACGTATCATTGCGCGTAAGTACGTCCATCTCATAGACTGTATATATAAATCATACAACTATGGGTCCATCCCACACGTACGTGTGAGGAAACCGGAAAAGAATGTATTTTACTACTGCGCATGTGCGTACACTCTCTCGTGCATTCGACCTTTACAACAAACCGGTGAGTGCTAATCGTAACCTCCACTGTTGCAAGGGTGAGATTGTTACAGTAATACATTATATACCTATTCACTCTGTATACTTTAGCTGCACTGCAATTAGACTCAGTTAATCTGTAGTTTGCGTAGGTTTCGGCCTAGTTGTTGGTGTGTAGCGGATTTTGACCTTATGAGTGTGCGCCCTGTTAACATGGAACACAATGTACTTCAGCTGACCATTTGTATCACAAATTGATATCTGAAATTAGTTTTAACCATATTGTTTTATCTACAGACACCAAGTGATCACCCGTTTGGTTGACCTGTGCTTACGTCCTCTTAACATGTATGCCTGCGCGAAGTTTGTCTCTACGCCCTCTCTGGTGAGTCGACTTGAATGAATGAAATTAGCCTTCTTCAAAACCGTCTACAGCAATGTATATTCATATGTAACCTGTGGAATTAATACAGTGATGACACTGACATTCTATCTGTAACGTTGCATACTGTTCTGAGCAATACAGCTATTTGTTTTCCAGGTTATGCCCATGGACAATTGTGTTCTTTTTTTTTTTATTTTTTTTATTCTTTGGTTCTTTGGTCAACAATATGAACGGTGTATCTTTTAAATTTTAGGTCCGTGCTGGATCTCGGGCACTGTACAGGCCTCTGTCAGCAGCAGTAGTGTCAGATGCCCGGAAAGGAGAGGTAAGTGGTGGTCTGAGCTGTATTTCTTTGTGTTTTTATAACTGTCCTATTGTAATTAATTAAAACAAACTTATTCTCTCTGCAGACTGCCTCACTCCTACCTCAGAGTTCCCAGCAGCAGATGGCAGTGCGCAGCTTCCAGACCAGTGCAGTGAGTCGTGACATTGACACTGCTGCAAAGTTCATTGGTGCTGGAGCGGCCACTGTGGGAGTCGCTGGATCTGGTGCTGGTATTGGAACAGTGTTTGGTAGCCTCATTATTGGATATGCAAGGTATGATCATGCACTCATATAAATATATATAAATGATCTCTGGCTGTGTTTCTAATTTCATTTCTCCACAGGAACCCTTCTCTGAAGCAGCAGCTCTTCTCCTATGCCATTCTGGGCTTTGCTCTGTCTGAGGCTATGGGTCTTTTCTGTCTGATGGTTGCTTTCCTTATCCTGTTTGCCATGTAAATGGTAAAGCATATCATAAGGACGAACATTGTTAACAAGAACTGTACAGGAATTGTCAATGAATGTTAGCTGCTGTCAAGTTGTTGCTAATACATGTTCACTGGTGTTTCTTAGAGGACTGTGACCTGCACAGCTGTATAAAATCATAACAAACCAAAATCATTTTTGATTATGGAGATGTTATATTGTATATTTAATCAGATGTTTTTGTTAACAAACATACAACCATTGAGACAATTAAATATTTTATTCCTAAATGTTATGTGTCCTTTGTCATTCTTAATAATTGCTTATTACTGATTTTATTTTAGAAATTGCTACCCTGAAGTACTTTACATTTTTTGTGCTAATGGTATTTTTTCTCTTGCAATTATTACAAACAAAAGTTTCAAAATTTCATATTGATTGACCTTAATTTTCAAACCATCTGCTGTTCTGGATCTGTGCTTTGCATTACTGGAAATTTCCTATTGTGGGCTAATTAAAGGTTCTCTTATGTGCATTCTGAAATAATGCTCTAATCTGTAATGCATTAAATTATTAGATCAAGCTAGGGAAATGAAGCCAGTTTTCAAATGTAGCCAGTGGACCTCTAAACAAGACAATTGTGGTTGAAATGGGATGTTTTTGACTAGTTGGATTTTCTACTGTATGTTTTTGACCTGTTTCAAGTACAACAAATTACCAACACGGAACGAATGTTTGCCGCCTGATTTTGCACGGGACTACTTTACAGAACGTACACGTTTGACATTGCGTTGTTTTCATTTTAAACCATGTTTTCAACCCACAAAATTACTGCAAATGGAAATACTATTTACAGATGTTTAACATACATAGAGGACTTCTGTTATGTAAATGTTTTCTGTAAAATATTTTAGTAATCCCTGGAGGAATGTTACGTCTACGTTCAGAAAGCAAGTAGATCATTCTGGGATCTTGAGCCATTTCTGTGCCGCTGCTGAGGAATCAGCCAAACACCCGAGCAAGAAACACAAAGAAACGCCTAATAAACAGGTATAAGCCAAAGTCATTTTTTATTCTTTTATTTGTTCTAGTATCACTAATGAAACTAATAGTCTAAAGCAATACATGTATGTATATTGTTGCTCAACTTGGCCAAATTGTTAAAAAATATTTAATTCTTAGGTCATTTTACAACAAATTAAAGACTAGTTTGTTCATAATAATACAGATATTTTTATACACAATTTGTACGTAATAATATGTATGGTGATATTTCACATCTTCTCCACTAGGTGTAGCCATTTGTTTATGTAAACAACTCACGTCAGACTGACATTGATATTGATAACTCAATCTGCTTTTCCTCCATAAGCTTAAAAGAGAAAGAGCTCCATGCCAGCTGATGTTGAAGCACTTTGATCGGCAATACAGTTGTGAACTTGGAAATTTGTGGACATCAGCAAGGTGCATTTTCATAAAGTATTTTTTTTTACTATCAGTCTTTAATAAATTTAACTTTTTCAAGTAAACCTTTTATGGTATTGTTTTTTTTAATAGGGAAGTCCTTTTGAACCCTCACTCCTGGCAATATGGCGTCATGCTCAACAGATTCACAGCTGTGTCAAATGTCACTCAAAGTCTAAAATCTCAGGGATTTTTCAGCATCCTGCTACAGACAGAGGCCTCATCATTGCTGTGTGATAAACCTACGGAGTCTTGTTTGAAACAGCCTCGGGAAAGTGGCTCAGTGCTGTCGGCTGAGTGCCTCTCTGATGACTCTAATCTTCAGTCTGACTGCGAATCTCAGTGTCTGCAATCAGAGCCATCTCAAAGTCCTTTACTACAATGTTACATCCATTCGCATCCTCTGAGATTTCCCTCACAAGCCCACAGACACGGCTGTTTAAAGCAGTATTACCTTCTGAATGCTGCCTCTCTCCTCCCAGTGCTGGCATTGCAAGTTAAAGATGGGGAGAAAATTTTGGATTTGTGTTCAGCTCCTGGAGGCAAAGCTATAGCCATAATGCAGAGCTGCAACCCAGGTAAACTATCCTACATTTTCTGCCCCAGCAAATCAGGCGACTCACTTATTTGCATATTGCGTTGTAATACATTTTTGTTGCCCTTCTACTCTGAAAGGGCATATTTTAGAATAAAAAAACATTCATTTTGTCTTCTTTTTACATTTATAAAAATAGCCGCTGACATGTTGCCAAATTAATTTTTTATTTAACATAATTGTTTCTATACAACAGCTCCTGATGGTTCTTATTATAGGCTATAGAAAGTAACTTATCAAGATTTTTAGTAAATGTCTGGAATAAAAACTTAACTCATCATACCTGAGTGACTATATATCCTTATCTGTTTTGTTCCAGATCTTCTCTGCTGTAATGAACCTGATCCGCATAGACGGGAGTGGCTGGCCAAAACCATGGAGTCTTTTCTCCCTCCCTCACTAAACAGCTGTGTGACTGTGTCTGCACAAGATGGCCGTTATTTTGGCCAAAGTGAACCGTCCAAATATGACAAGGTGAAATGAACAGCACTATCATGTTCTCTGCTTTTGTGGCGAGAGTTCACTGTTCAACAAATGATGGTTCATGCTGCCTTTTCAAGGTTGTTGTTTGAAATATATCAAAAAGAGCAAGCCTTTGAAATGTACCTAATAAGCTCAGTGGAAGTCTAGGGAAAATATTCAAAACGAGCCAAAGAACAAAGTGACTGATAATGGACCAAAATGTTGAAAGGAAAGCAGAGGGCGAGTAGCCATACATACTGAGAAAATGAACAGTGGGAGATCGCGTGGCTGAATAAAAGTACCTAACAAATCTAATCACACATTTCCATCTGTGCTGCTAATATTCAGTTGCTGAGTTAACACAAAATTTCGGCATGTGGATCAATAATAGAAAACAAAGTATTATACTCAGAATTCTGGGTTTGACTTGAGTTTAGATTTTTTTCCCCATTGCATTTGTTCATTTCTCTCCTGGACAGGTTTTAGTTGATGTGCCGTGCTCCAATGACAGAAGTTGGCTCTATTCTCCAGGTGGCCTGCAAAGATTAAGAGAAAGGGCGATGCTACCAGCACTTCAAACTCAGCTTCTAAAGTAATCTACTTTTTAACTTAACATTTCTTGAATTCAGTGTTTTTATATATATATATATATATATATATATATATATATATATATATATATATATATATATATATTATATATTTTTTTTTTTTTTTTTTTTTTTTTACATTTGTAGAAGTTTAATATGATATTCAAGACTGTAACTCAACTGTTCTGTTCAAAAGAAAACCCACTAGCACACATCTTGACATAACTTGACCTACCATCACTGCAGGAAAATCACTGCTAACATTTTTCCTGTGGATTTTCCGTAGGTCTGCGCTGTCAGCTGTGCGTCCAGGGGGCACTGTGGTCTATTCAACCTGCACTCTATCCCGCTCGGAAAACTGCGCTGTGGTGGAGGCAGTGCTCAGGAGCTGTCCTGAAGCTGAACCCGAAGACCTGTGGGAGGAGCTTGCTGTTCCTTTTTCTGAACACTTTTGCTTTCAATGTGGTCAGGCATCTCCTCTTCAGTGTGGCACAATGCACCCCCCTGACTCCAGACTAGGCATTTTAGTGGTGCCACATCCTGGAAAGACCTGGGGACCTATGTTTCTGTCTCGCATTCGAAGAAAGGTGTGATATTTATTTATGTAAACTTGAATCCTTTTCGTGGATTGACATATTTATAAAAATCTTCCTTACTGACTTAGATCCACTCGCAACCCTATTTTTACATTTTATATATAGTTGACTGTTCATCTGAATCTTCCACTGTAGTGTTTCCAGCTATGCTTTTCTATCAAATTTTTTTCAGTTTCAAAACAACTCTTAAAATTCTACCAGTTTTACTGTGAAAAAGCACAACAAAACAGCTGCTCAGATCATCTTTTTTTTTTTTTTTTTTTTTTAAACATGACTGTCACGTTTGCAGAGACTAGGAGTTTGAAATTGCTGCTCCTGTTGTTAGTTTTGCCTGAAAATGCAGCTTGACGTTGCCTTTTTCATTAACTTGTTTATTAACACCCTGAACAATGTTTTTTCTATTATTATGTACTATTCATCTTATTCAGAAAGTTGCCATGGGTGCCGTCATTGTCAGTGTCCCTTTTGTTGACTGTGTGATTTGGCATAGGGCTGCCGATCTCAACAGCAAATTTTATACAGACTACAAAGCCGTTATCTTGCTACCCAGAGAAAAGGTGCATTGTTGATATGTTGGTACACATGAAAACCTACTTTATACAATATTTAAGCATCAGGATATATTTTTTGGCAGCAAGACTTTCTCTAGTTCTCTATTTAAATGAATGGAATTCCAGCTAAAGTGGAAATGTCAAGACAAAAGGCAGTGTGGGTCAGTAGTAAGTAAAAGCGGGTGGAGCAGAATTTATAACATGGGAAAAGTTTTGACATCTCTATCAATAACTGCATTTACTACAACTAATAATAATAATGCATCAATTTTATATAGTGCTTTTCTGGACAGGCAAAGATGCTTTACAGAGCATTATTTATTCACTCCACTGGGTGATAGTAAGCTACTATTGTAGCCACAGCTGCCCTGGGGCAGACTGACCACCATCACTCTCACACACACCACTTTCATCTGAGGCAATGTGGGTGAATGTCTTGCCCAAGGACACAGTGATTGATGCCCCAATGCTGCTATTACTACAATTACAGTTTACAGAAATCAGCAAAAAATCATAATGGGTGAAGATGATTTAAAATGTATCATTATAAGGTTTGATATGTTACAAAATTTATTTATGTAAATGTCCTTATTATTTTCTTATAGAAATAACTGATGAAAATTTCTCTCTAGTCATTCATAACAAGTTACAGATTTGTCTTTGACCAGTATTACAAAGTTCCATCGCAGTCTCATTATAATAAAATGTAATGATCCTATATATTCAATAACGAGTCTGTCACACACTCTGCCTTATTAAAGTATAAGTGCTAGAGTATTACAATGAGTGAGATCCGTCAGTCTGAGAGATGACTTTTATAATCATTTTTGTGAAAGTGTCTCTACTTTGACTCAGTCACAGTTCCTCCAGGAGCTCCTATCTCCACTTAATTTAATATTACTGTGTGCTTGAAGTAATCTTCCTGCTGCCATCATACCCAGATGAGCTGTTCTCTGTGAATCATGCTCTACAAGTGGATATTATGTGGTCTATGAAAGTTGTTCACAATAGTTTAATGTAATAGCACCTGCTTTTGGGAATGCCAACTTGCCACATCTCTTGTGGATGATTTGACAAACTGTATGTATCTCCATAATATAGGGACGGGACAAGATTCTCGTGACTTTTTTTTCCCTATGTGTTTACTTTTGGCCCTAATAAAAAATAATTTAAGACTAGTGATTTCTTGAAAAGTTGATGAGTAAAAGCAGTGCTACAATGCCAGCTTAAATATAAAAATGATTCACTGAACAGCATAATGGATTTTTTAATATATTCTGGCAAAATCGTGGACCCCAACTTGTGTCTCATCTTGTGTGAATTGTGTCTCATACCACCCCTAACAATAAACTAAAATAAACATATTCTGTAGATAGTTCTGTTCTTCCACAAAGTTAACAATTATGGCCTTTTTGTGTTGTTGAGACCACCAAACACCTGTTAATGGATGACTTAGTCTATTTGATAGAAATAAATGATTTTGCTTCTAGTGACACACTGGGTGCACCTATTGAAACATTTTGTGTGACCAAAGTTCCAAATATCACTGCTTGTGTTTATGTGACTATTTATACTCACTTGCCTTACTTTTAGCTTTACTTTCACATGCCTCGCAGAGTCTAGCCCCACTATCAGATATGTTCATAATTGTGTATTCTACAACTTAGCTATCCCTATGTATGTTAGAGGCTAAAGCGAGTCTTCATTGGGGTTAACCATCTACGTGACCTTTATGTGAACCTATGCTTGTTGATGCCCCCGTATTGCAGTGTTTCCTCGGAGGGAGAATTTCTGAGCAGCTTTGCCTCCACTTCAAAGGCTGCGTATGTAGGCCTGCTTTGCATAATCAGGTGGGGAACAGCTTTTTGCCAGAGAGGCAGGAATTAATTTGTGGCAGCGCCAGATGTAATCATTAAAACCCCGGTCAATGACAGTACAGTGGGAGGAGGAGGGGAAATTAGCTCTAACAGTAGATAGAGATACGCTGCATTGTGTAAATATCAGAGGACCATAAATCCACTCAGTTTAATCCCAAATAGCTTAATTGTGGCTGTTAGGACATAAATCAAAAACACAAATATTCAAATCTGACCAGAATTATAAAAAATACAACATATAAATGTCTTGATAACTTCTGACTTAATACAGAATCGCTTTAAGGGTTTAAGTTCCAAAATAAGAAGCAATTCTGTCGTCCTTAGGCAATATTAAAATAACTTTGAAAAGAACAACACAATGAAGTCAACTGCAAAATAGCCGTAACATTGAATTTAAATGAAGACATTAGGCTAAAAATAATGAACAGGCACAAACCCATTACAGAAGCTGCTCTAACTAGACCATGGAGCAGTCAGTTCTCTGTTGAGATATAGGTCCCGTGAGAAAAGGTTTGGGAACTACTGCTCTATTATGTACAGAAATGATGTAGGCGCGGAGGGTGGAGAGAGGAAGAAAGCGCAAATGAAGTGGAACTTGGCCTTTATGTGCTTCACTGGCTGAATTATAATTTTAGTTTATACGCATTTTTGTTGTCAGTAAACAGCTATGAACTAGTTAATTATTTAGATTTTTATCTTAGAACCTAACAAGCATTTTACACATTTCAGTTCATGGACCTGTTTGTCTCAAAACATCTTTATAAATTGCTTTAATAGTCCAAAAAAAGGAAAAGAAAAAATGCTCAGTTTAAGTTTTTACTCTGAATTAATGATGGTTGGGAGCTCACAAGAAAAAAAAACATTCTTTATATGAAAAGTTTAAAAAGACTCTTTAATCTGGCTATATCATTGTGTTAAACATTTACTGACAAGAGTTATTGTATTTTGACAAGGTTGCCATGTGATTTCTTATCAGTTACTTGACATATGATTTGTGTAAAAGTTAATAATGACCGTATCTTTAGTTTCTATCTCCCCATTATCCAATTGTTCACTATCTTGTCCCATCACTCACTTATTTGCACTCCTGTGTCTCAACACAACACAGAAATATTTCTTTGAGTCTTTGTGGAGACTGTTGAGTTGTAATCAAAGCCCATTAACCACACTGTCAACACAAGTGTCTGAAGATGATGAAGATGATTGAAGATCACAGCAGATATAACCAGTGGGTGTTATAGGATCTGTGTATTCATCATGTACTCATCAGTCATTTTAGACTTCATTTGTCAATACTCTGTCAGGGAAAGTGAAGAGAGAATTGAAATGTTTGATGGATTGGTTCATAGCTTCTCTCTGAGGTAAAAGTTTATAGAGATTTAGGACTTTGACTTGTTTTGTTGAGAGAAACTTTTTATTGTTTGTGGGTTTTTCATTTAAAATAAAGTTTTCTTTCTTAAAAACTGCCCAGAAGATCAGCACTTGGCTAGACAATATGAATTAGGAATCAGGTTACCCGACCATCTGATTTTTGTCTGCCAAAGGGAACTCAGTATTAAATGTTGTATTGCTTTACAGAAATGTTTTGGGGACTAGTAATACTCAACTTCTGTGCCAAATGTATAATTTAATCACATAATCTTTTTTTTTTTTTTTTTTTTTTTTTTCACTGGCATAATTTGATGCCATACTACTATATAATGCATCTCTATAAATTTTGTTATGCCTGTGTTATTATTATTATTATTATTATTATTATTATTATTATTATTATTATGTTTCATTGTTGATGCAAAAATGGTTTGGACTTGTCTCTTCAGAACTTGAGAATTAAGTTTAATATGTAAACAAGTGACGCAATAGTATTTTAAGGCTTCTGTCGGCTTGTGGATAAAAAAAATTATAAAAAATACAGTTCCCCAGTATAGGTCTTCATCTTCTTCTTTAGATTTTGTTCAAACTCACTTGTCATGGCCTCCACATTTAATATTTTTGATTTGATTTTTGCCAGAATGGGATTAGATTTGGGGGGAGTTCCAATCATTCAAATTGTGTTGTTCTGCTCCAGTAAAAGGACATTCTTGGACACTTCTATTCTTGGAGGAGAAAAAGGTTGATCAAAAGGTAGAAATCATCCCTGAGCAATCTAGGTAAATTGGATTTTGAAGAGTTTTGTTTTGGGTTTTACTAAAATAACATGGTTCAGTACATTTTACATATGACTGCCTGCTAAATAGACAAATTAAGCACCAAGGACAAAGTGAAAGTATGTTAAAATCCAAAATTGAAGGTGGACTGCGTAACCTTTCTGGTGCCTGATGCTTGTCTGCCTAGAGATATTATTTCTGCCACATTCCATGGAATTAAACATATCTATCCTTTTAATTTTATTATGGGTGTTCTATATTCCTTAAAAATATAGTATATTAAAATATAATTGTGCAGGGAAACTTTTCCCCAGAACTGATCTGTACAATTCACCTGCTGGTCTTCAACAAACTGAATGCCATGTTGTGAACCAACATCTCCATAGAGCAGAGTTTCCCAAACTTTTTTTTTCTGGGGACCCATATTTTAAAAGTCACAAACCTTCACAACCCAAGTCAATTGACATTATTCATAAATCACAAAATAAAGGTGAATTTGAGCATTACTGAACATTAATGAGGGTATTTTATTGTTGATTGAGTGACTGTGTCTCTCTGTACAATTAGTATTACTCAAGTTTTCAAACAATGACAATTGAACCAGCGATTAAAGGATCCAAAAATCGATGAAGCCCATTTCTTTTTGTTTTCAACATTCAATTGAACCATCAATATTGGAACACAATAGTCACTTGCTCTCTCATGTGTCAGACATATGCATATTGCACACTTACATTCAGATCGTGACAAGGCGACACAAAAAAGAATCTCTTGTGACCCACCTGAGGGTCACGACCCAGTCTTTGAGAAACAATGCCATAGAGACAAGCAGGTGGCAGACTTTTCACTAGAGAAGTTATGCAGTAACAGTTTCAAGGCAGTGAGGTGACTTGATGAAATACATAAAATATATTAGACTTGTTATTAGACTTAGACAAACTTTATAGATCCACAAGGGAAATTATTTTGACACAGTAGCTCATACATAACAATAAATATAATAACAAAGGGCAAAAAAGTAAATGGTAATAATGAATTCAAAATAAGTAGCAAAAATACAAAGAGACTGCTGTCAAATATGGCATAATTATATAAGTGCACATGTACAAGTAAAAATAAAACAATGAAATATAGTAATACAAAATATCTCAGTTATCTGTTACATAAGGGTAAGTTGTTATACAGTTGTATGGAGTATAGTATATATGACTTTAAAATAGCTCTATAAAACACTAGATGACTGCAACTTCTTTCCCAAGATAAAACTGCCAAAAGCTGTCAGTATGTTAGTGGGCTCAAAGTTTGCCTAACAACTTTGAGAAAGCAATAACACAAAGGATAAGCACTTTGTTTACCTAAGGAGGACCTATGAAGTGTCATCTTCACTGTAAATTATGTCTCACTGTCCCATTAGCATACATCTCTATAGCACTCTGCCCAGACAGGTTCAGTGGCCGGTGTTTCTAAGGTCTCACATAGGCATACAGCCGTTGACAGGGGGCCATGGCAGTGCAGTCAGCTTTCAGGCAGGTAGCAGAAGGGGGGATGTCCTATTTATCCTCCCTGTCGATTGCTTCTTCTTCTTCCCTTGGCTCCTCGGCCCCTTCTGTGCTTTCAAAAACTCCCCATTCTTCCTGACTCCTTGTCGCTGGATGACTTTCCTCCACTGTGCCTATGTATCAGGCTGTCTCCTCTTGGGCTCACAGACTGCCTTTGATCTTGCCAGTGCTAGCGCAGAGGTAGACAGTGACGCGCTATGGCTTTTCTCTGCCTATTAATGTCTTAACTCCAGCTTCTGCCTCGTGCTGCAGGTCTACTGAGACATCATTTCCACACAGCACACAGAATGACAGACCTGGACATCCTAATCACCTCGGTACCGTAAGTGCAACCCCAGCTACATTCAAATGAGGCTGGTTAAGAATTGTATAGCCTACTACGAAATTAAATCTTATAACACAGTGACCTCTTGCCTTATTTTGGTGGTTAAAATAGTCCAGATTTTATGCAGTATACCACCAGCTTCCAACTCTAATACACAGCCATTGTATACAACATGGTACAATCTTTTATGTCCACTTTTGATAGACTAACCCCAGCTACATTCAAATTAGGCTGATTAAAAATTGTATAGCCTACTAAGAAATGAAATGT